GAGAGAGAGAGAGAGAGAGAGAGAGAGAGAGAGAGAGAGAGAGAGAGAGAGAGAGAGAGAGAGAGAGAGAGAGAGAGAAAGAGAGATTACCAATATGGTGTACACTGCGTCTCGGAGTCTGAAGAGGCAGGTGGAGGTGTATTTTGTTCTTAAGCGACTGAGCGATGCATTGTGTAAGGGCGTTTTTGCGGTCCTTGCGATGACGTTAGTGAGTTTCGGGCATTACATGACCTTGAATGTTCTCTGGACCAATGTGGCGCTTCTGTGCACAGAAGCGTGTACAACAATCTTGCTTTCATTTACTGACAGCACTTATTTTCAGAAAATGTCCTGCGCTGAGATTGCCAAGGCTCAACGATCTGAACGCTGGTTGGTCTTTGGCAAGATTACGCTCCTGGAGGGAAGCCTGGTCTCTACAAGTAGCTACGTTGGTGCCACTAGCTTGGTCAAGCTGTTTTCTGTGGCCTCTCTGGTTCCTCTCGATTTATACCTCTATCGGGCCCTCCCTCACCTCGGCGGGGGGGCGGATTACCATGTGCAAAGGGGTATAAGGCGTTTGCACGAGTCCCTTGCTCTTGTTTGCATCTGCATCCTTGTCCACGCTGTACTTATGGTCACGCTCATCTTCTTCCCACTGGTGTACTCGACGGCCAGGAGTCTACTGGGCCTCGTGGACTGGGACCTCGGAGTTCCCTGCTTTGAGAGGGTTGACCACAGTCAAAGGGAGAGCGAGATGGGGCTAGCGTGGTACGCACACCTGCATCGGCACTGGTACTTATCGCCAAAAGAGGCCCACGAAGACGTTAAGTGTTGTGGCCTGCCTGGGTACTGGTTCCATAGCATGAAGGACTTGCTGATAACCGCAAGACAATTTTTGCCTGCTGGGGTTGAGGACTGTAAGAGGTGCTCTGGCTCCAAGGGGAAGCCCAGTATGGGTGTGGCTGGATCCCGTAGAATGGCACTGGAGGCACTATGGGACTTGTCCCAGCCAACGAAGCCCTGCACCTGCCCATTGTTCTATGAAGAGGAGGGCATGGCTACCCACATGCAGGACATCCCTCAGGTCAGTCGTTGCACCTATGATGTGGACGCCAGTCGGGACTTCCTAGTATATGGGGGCTACCCTGCCATGCTCTGCATAGTCAGCAGCTGCGCAGCCCAACCCTATGAGCTGCAGCTTGCAGCATCCATCTGCGGAGGCTTTGCGTCATCCCTCCCAGTCCTGCTTTGGCAGCCTCTTTGGAAGAAAGACATGAACGTACATGTTGTGCAGTTGTTCGATGATAAGGATTTCACGTTGTGCACCGTAGAGTTGCTCGAGAGCTTTGTCCACTTGTTGGAGATCCAAATGCAGATGCAGACGCCAGACCTCTCTCTGATGGAGGCTCTCACCTTTGCCATCTCCTCCTTTGCAAATGTGGTGAGCGACATGCACGCCCACTACCATGCCCTCCTCCAGTCTAAAGAGTTCGGTTCCGATCCGCCGACGTTCAGGTTTGAGTCGCTTGACCCCCCTAGCAATAAGACTTGCAACACCTTCAATAACGCCTTCACGACGTTCTGCCCATTCGGATGGCCTCTCGGGGATGAGATCCCAGACTTCACGAAAGCCAAAGCGTGGATGGAAGGTGTGCAGACTGCCGTGTCGCTACAGGAAACGGTTCAACTGCTGCTCAAGCTAGCCACTTGGACTGACATGAGTGTGCAAAGTCAGGTCGTGTCTCATGCCATTAGGGCTCTTTCGGCCATCTGGTCATGCAAGATGATATATTGGCATCGTTTCGACAAACGGATGCCACGCGACTTCCCTGATCCGCTAGCGCTGATTAGCAACCTTAGCAATGCCGAGGAAGCCAAGGCAGCTATGAAGGCACTGATTTTTCTCTGCACTAACCGAAGTCAGTCAACGACTAGTATCCTGTCCCCTTTCTCCAAGCTTCATTTGGCCAAGATCCTCATCTCTCAAGAAGTGAGGGACATTGATGGCGAGCTTGCCACAATCCTGCTGCAGTGCCTTTGCTACTGGCGGCGCGCAATGGGCCCTCGGGAACTGGATTGGTTTGCCTCTGAGGTAGTCGAGACAATACATGATCTGTTCATTTCATCGTGTGATGCAGCTACGGTCGCGAAGCTGATAAGGGACTCGCCTGGCGGTGTCAGCTGTCTAATGCTCATGCTAAGCAGTCAAGTAAGCCGCCTAAACGCCGCCCGCCTTGCAGAAAATGGAAACACTGCCACATTTAGGCCCACACACTTGCAATTCAAGGCCCCGAAGAACCCTAAAGAAGACTCTGAGACACATTACTGTTTTTGCAATGCTGCTGCTACAGCCCTGCTTTATGAGCTCCTATGCTTTGACGGCCCCACCACAACCCTACCAGCCCTGGAGGACAGCCCTGACCTCTTTGTCCATCTGCTTAAAGATCTTAGCTGGGTAGTGCTCCATCTATTGAACCTGAGGCCGGTCGAGGACGAGGATGCAAAGAATGCCATAGTTGTTGGTGGCGGGTATAAGTATGGCTTCGGCTACTCAGATCCACTCGAAGGGAGGCTAGCTCATCGCCCGCCAGGCAATTGGATGTATACGTTGTGTTCCCGTGCTCGAAGGGGTTTGTCCTACCTTAAGTCCAATTTTGCTCTGAAGTCTACTCTTCTCTTCTTGGAGTCCTTTGACAATCCAGCCTGGAGACCACCGTTCGGGTTGTGGGAAAGCATCTCCTCGCTGATTGAAGACGCTGGAAAAGACCGAATGGAACACTTCGAGAGGTCAGTCAACGCCATGCTGGCAGCAAGACAGGCTATTCGCATAATGTATGAGCTTGTCAATACCTATCCTCAGCTGCAAGAGGACAAATACGTTCATTGGTACTTCCACACACTCGTGAAATGCGTAATTGGTCCCTTTCCTAGTCTCCAGAAAAGGCTTAGGCTTTGGGAGTTGGAGGTCCGTTGCGAGTTCGAGATGAAGGATCTGGCCGCAAGGATTCTAGCTTGCACCATTCGAAGAGCTAACGACCTTGCTGGAGATAACTTGTCAATGTCATTGGTAGACCCACCCCGCTCTTTCACGTGTCAGGCTCTGAGGAGTCTCAAGGATTGGGCGAATCGTTTGGCAATGGCCAAGGTGCAGAACGAAGGGGATATCATCGACCTTGACTTGGAGGGCAACTCAATATGGATATTGGACAAGACCCGAAATAATGCCAACGACTGTCTTCTGAAGGAAGTGGAGTCTCTTGCATTGCCCTGCTCTGTACAAAGTACTTAATACAGTAAGGAAACTTGTGACGAACTATTTTATGCAACCGCGCGATCTTCTGTACGAGGCTACGTCAGGGGTTGAAACGGGTTGAGTCGGAATTGCGGCAAATGGCCTGGTGAATTGCATAGATGCCCTTGCTGTACCTGTCCTTTTGCTTTTGTGTCCTTTCGAAAGGGGGCTGGCCTGGTCTCGCGATGGTTGGTAGTTGATCGCGCCTTAACAAGCGCGACGAATAACGGTTGCCAAACTTGCCATAGCTTCTTTCTTGTCCTGCTGTCGGAAGGGGAATTTTAGCGCGATCGTTGCACGGGGAAATCTTTTTGAATTTTCAACTGATGTCGAGCCCCCACAGACTCTTGGAAATTGCTACGTTCGGAATTTCTTTTTGCAACTAGGATTTAGAATTAGGAATTTAGGCGCGCCTCAATTTCTGTTGCACGACGCTTCTTGCTTGCGCACGCCATGCCGCGTCAAGATTTGTGCTCTGATTTCTCCGCGCCTTAATCCTGAGTGTAACTGTAAATTTTTTGGCGGCCCAATTGGCGGGTATAAATGCAACTGTAATCCTCTTACTCTTGGTATCTTTTGTGGTGCCTTCATGCGCGCATACTTCTTCCTCTGCCTTATTGGCCTGAACGCTTGCATGACCGGATTGATGTATGGAGCGTCGTGGAGCGAGGCTACGTTCCCCATGCCGCGGCCTGGCCATGCAGTCGTAGGCACTCCCTTCCTCCTTCTTCCTCCTACTCGGACACAATCCCGGGTATTGCGCTCTCGCACGCAGGCATGCTATAAATTTTGCAAGCGCCGATTAACTCGCTCTCTTAGAATTTTGGAAGTTAGAATATGTTTGCGCGTTCGGAAAACCCCCGAATAAATTCATCGTGCTACACATCTTATAAGACTATAAGCACAATTTTTTTGGATAACAAAAAATCAGGATATTTTAGTTATTGAACCTACGGTGCCTCACCAGGTCGTGATTTTTCATGAAAAAACCCGTTTTTTTCCTCGCCCTCTCTAGAAGTTCAGAAAATTTAATTTTCTGTTTTTTTTTACGGATGTTTCACTTCACGTAGAATTTTGTTCCTTGAGGAAACCTGAAAAACGTACTATCATAATCTTGAATATATTTCGTGCAAACATAACAATTTGTTTTGTTAGGTTTTCACGAATCCTATGTTGAAAGTAAATAGAGAGCAACGCCTCGTGCTCCTGGCTAGATGTCCGATGGCGTATCTCCTTAGCATATCGAATGCACATAGGTGAACAAGGATAATAGGCAGCTAGTCGTTTATACATCACCGTTTGAGCGTAGTACTGCATAATAAGATTCGTATGAAAGGTCATTTGGTTTGCCATCCTCGACTTTTTCAGCTTGTGGTTCTGTCAACATTTGTATACGATCGTCAGAAAGATATGTGGGTCAGGCTATTTTAGGCTACTATCGTGGTACCGAGCTGCGGTCACGTATTGATAAAATTTATAGATGTTCCGATTGTTATATGAGTATTTGGGAAGGCGCAAGAGTCGATGAAACCACACATCATATAGTAGGCGTTTAGAAAAAATGCATAGCAAGCTATGGGCGTATCATTAGGGAAAGTATATAGGGAGTAAGGCATTGTGTTGTTGGTTATGAGTTAATTAGTTATGCAACGGTTTATCCTCTTAGCATATTGAATCCTCATAGGCGAACAGGGGTAATAGGCACCTAACCGTTTATACAGCACCGTTGGGCGTAGCAATGCATAATTAGTTTCGTATGAAAGGTCATTTCATTTGCCCTTCCACGAGATTTTTCATATTGAGAATAGCTTGTGGTTTTGTCGGCAGCTGTATACGATCGTGAGGAAGATCTGTGGACCGGGCTGTTATAGGCCATTATCGTAGTACTAAGTTGCGGTCACTTATTTATAAATTTATAGATGTATCGGATGTAATGTTAGCATTTGGAAAAGTCCAAGAGTCAAGCATGTTTTGGAGATAAGATAAACTCAATGCATGAGAACATCGGTACTTAAAGGTAGATCCACTTTTCAGGATTTACGCATAACAATTGTTTGTGACGGTGGTATTGACAATATTGGTTTGCGCATAATCTGTATGGTGCATGTTTCCGTATTGGTGATATGTACGTAAGTACTTCTACAGTGTTAAGGGGGGCATAGGTTATTATCAAGCATGGGCGTCTGTGGGTACGGAAGGTGAGAAGATAATCATGCGGTCAAAAAAAAAATTAATAGGGTGTACCAGAGGACTGTTCTACTATTGATTTGTGCATGTTTGTAAGCATCATAGCTAGTGTAGTGCGCGAGAGCACGTATTTCTCCGTACTATAGTATCATCATGCCAAATTTAGCTAATACTATTAACAAAGCATTATCAAAGTATTGTATACGCGAGCAAAGGCAGGAATTGAGATAATCGTTTATAAGACGGCAACAGGAATTCCTTCGAATGCCCGGGGTTTATCATAATGTATGGTAGGTATAGGAGTATGTTGTTATGGGATTTAATGAGGAATGAAGATAGTAGGAGTATATTTGTTTACTGCGGGCTGCTTTATGTGTGGCGGCGTGATCATAGTATGAGGAGTATTGTTCATGGTGTGGGTATTGTTCGGGGGTTGATGGGTAAGTGCATTGTATATTCGTGGAGTATTCACTAGCGGCTTAGTAACATAGGCTTTGAGAGTGAGTGTGTATATTAGTGTTGTAATCGTAGGCCGATAGCATATAAATCAGTCATATCGAGATGGGGAAGGAGGTGGGAATCGATGATCCAGTGTGAGATGATGCTTAGTGTATCACAGGTGTAGAGGCAGCGGCTAAGGGGACGTACCTATGCAGATCCATGTTTTAATACGCAAAGCATAGCAACATTTGTATTTTGGAGTTTGAAGGAGAATGTGAAGGTTGCGTGCACATCGGCTGTGGGAGAAGAGGGAGGGGGGAGGGCAGAGGGGGGAGGGGGGAGGGGTTAAGCCGATCATCCTGTACGAGACTTAGTGCGCGATGGGAGGAAAGTGATGATGTTGACTTTGGCCTAGCGAGATGGGGATTCGACCCCATGCTTGGTGACTGGATCAATGATCCGGGAGTGTGTATAGGGTGTGTGTAAAACACAACCATCCCATTTAGAATGGGACACTTAGACCTTGTCGTTTCGTCCAATGTTAGGTAGTGGGATGGGAGTAGTTAGGTACAGGATACATCAAGGCATAGATTAGGTAAGGAGCAGGTTAGCAGGGTTAGAGTTAGAAGGTTAGCAAAGGTTAGGAATGGGTATGAGAACCCAACCGTAGGGGGGGTGCACGCCCTAAAGCGCGCTTTTCGCCGCCTAGCACCCATAGCAGCTCATCAGAGGGATTAACTTAGTATCGGCTCCTGTTAGCGTAGGGGGTGGGTGGAGGGTGTAGGGTATAGGGTAATGCAACATGGGTTTTTTAGGGGGGAGTTCATTAAGGGTCGATACCTGAGAGGTCATGGTTGGTGGCGCTGGAGAGTCAGCCGCTGCCATAGCTCGTACCGAGGTCGTGCAGCGTGGAGTCAGGTAGCTTGCCCACAAGCTAAGCGGACATGACACTGTATGCATGCCACACCAAACCCAGGCACGGGCTCAACTGTAAGGTTGCATACCCCGAAAAAATGGATGGAGGAGGAGGAGGGGCGCAGCGAGAGAGCTTGGGAGCAGGATCTGCGCGAGCATAGTGCAACGTATGCTTGCCAGTAGTAGTAATCGTACCCGTCTCTGAGGGCAACTGTTGTATGGGGCGAGCAAGCCGAATATATGTTCTGTAATGCATCGTACGTTCTTGGTATTGCAGAGATGGAGTAGTACGAAACGAGAGTGGCTTCATTTTGGCGGGGATGGGGTGGACTCTTTCGTGGTTAGGGGGGAAGAAAAATTGGATGCATAGCTTGGAGTTGTTCTCTGTGGGGCGGGGGGGGAAAGGGTATGGTTGTACTGTTCGTATAGTCCCATCTTCCGTCATGGGTGCGAGCGTGTTTGTTCGAGCTCACGCAGGGGTGAAGGGGTTCTGCCAGAGATGAGGCTTGTGTTCACGCTATCGTAGCTTTGTCGGTTTGCTGGATTTGTTTCCGCCTTTGCCTTTTCTTGTGCGTCAGTGTGTGCAGTGGTGTGGGTTCAATCGTCGTTTTTGGGAGATGGCGTGGCTATGGTGTAGGGCGGCAGTGTCGCGGCGTGTTTGTCCTGTTAGCATGTCCGTTTGTCTTGCGGTGTGTCAGGTGTGTCGTTTCGATGTGGAGCCATGCGGGAAGTTTTTCGGTAGTGCGTCGTACGGGACCGAGGCAAAGAAAACGTTTTGGTTTTGTGCATGTGAGCCTAGATCTTGCTTTCTTTGATTGTACGTTTTGATTGACCTGGGTGGTGGGACCTATTGACCCATAACCGAAATGCGGGGAGTGGCCCTATGGTATATAGGTTTCTTAGCTTATTATTTATGCTGTATATGTTTGGGGCCGAGGCTTATATTTCAGGGCTGGAGGTTTATATTCTGTGTGAGTTTATATATATATGGGGGGGTAGTTAAGTAAAGGATGCTTCAATCTTTTCTTATTTTATTTTTATCCTTAATTTTACCTTTTTTATTTGTGTTTTTTTTTATTGTTATGATTTTTACAAGTTTATTATTTTAACTATTATTATTATTATTATTATTGTTATTATTATTTATTATTGGTTTTATTATTATTATTTATTATAATTATTATTATTATTTTATTAAAAAAATTATTTGTGTGTGTGTGTGTGTGTGTGCCAGGGGGAGGGGAGGGAGGACCCCTCCCCCACCAATCAATCAATCAATCAATCAATCAATTTTTTTTTATTATTTTTTTTTTGGTCACATACCAAAAAACACCCCCCCAAAATTTTAATATATATATATTTTTTTAATGAGCAGGGCCATAGAGGCCAACGTGCGACGGCCGCGCGTGCGTGCCTTTTTCCTGCACGCGCCCCCACCTGGGCCTGGTGCGGCCTTGTAGAAACTAGGCCGCGGGCCCGCGGTCCGCAGGATCCA